GAATAAATTTGAAAAGAGTCTTCTCTTTTTTTTGGAATTGGCATGAATAGATGCAGAAGTAAATGGAAGAAAATATGTTTATGACCCTCAAATTGCTCGTAAATTTGTGCAAACCAAAGCAATAATAACTATGGGAACTTATTTAATTTACTTCTTTCTTTACCTCCTCTCTCCCATCTATCTTACATACTTATTTCTTCTGTATCTTATTTTATGTTGACAATTTGTTTAAATAATTTGTTAAATTAAATTATTTTTGAAAGTATCTCTGTATTATTATGCTGTTCAAGGAAAAGTAAATGTTGACATTGACAAGATTTATATAGTGAGCTATGGCCATCAACAAGAAGATGATCATGAGAGGTCTCATAGTCGAATCAGATAATCTTTCAAACTTTCAATTTGTGTCTTGAGAACTTTTATAATCAATCTACAAATCCATGCAACTTTCTAGTGAAACCAGTTGCTTGATCAAAGAAAAAACAGAAGTGAGAAAATCATTTGGAATTAAGCTGTTCAATCTAGAGTTGCTAAAGCTTATATGGGTTAGATCTATTAAGTTGAAGATATACCCGGAGCAATACCGTTGGATCAATGGCAATTCTCATTTATTTACTGAGAACCGTGCACTTAGCAGCTATATTAAGCAGTTACTGTAACATCATTTGAACTAATTTTCTTCTTTTGACTCTTGATGATCGATTTGAATGATATATTTTTTGTCGTACCTCTCAAATCTTGTGTCTACAATCTCGGCTCTATTTATTAACAAGATTCATTCATAAATTCATACAAAAACTGATTTCTTTTGTGAAAAGTCTATTCGATGAAATTGCCATTTTTCTAATGCTTACCTTCTCATAAACCACACAACAAACAAGAAAAGAAACAAGCACAACAGAAATAAAAGAAAAACGATCATCATCAACTACCATAATAATTTTAAAATATATTAGTAGCTTTATTGAGTGATGATTATTTGAACAATGTGAATGAGTGGAGAAACAAAAGAAGAAACAGAATAAAAATCTCATGGTGATTTTTTTTTCTATACTTAATTTTTAGCTATACCTCCCAAAAGCACTTGAAGAAGAAATAAAATAAAATCATGTGTGTAATTAATTAATAACCATACATCTCTAATCTATCGGAGAAGATGAAGTTTTTTTTTTATGTTTAAGTACCGACTGAAAAATATAAAATAATTCCTTCACTGTTGATGAAGGAATCATAAAACAAACTTCCGACAATAATCATTTATTAGATAGATGATGAAATGACCATAGGAGAGAAGAGACATGAAGAATGAGATGTAGGTAAGAAATGGTAAATGGTGTTGCTGTTTATCGCTTAGACGAGAGAAATAACAAAAATATTATTGAAAAAAGGCACATACGTAAGAAACAAAAGATGAAGAAATTATAGACCGGAGGATGATGAAACAAGTAAGGATGCTGTTGCCAAAAATAATCTATTTTAAGACATTTTTAAGCGTCTTTCGAGACTTATTAATGGTATTTTAAGGGTTTCTACTCACTAGCTTAGAGCCTCAACGTAACTTAGGCTTGGAAAAGTTCAATCCTTAAACTCCCTTAATTACTTAAAAACCTCCATCCATATCAAATGCCAAAAATATTTCGTTCAATCAAAATTACTCAAAAAAGTCACTATTTAAGCGACAACGACTTAGCAACATGTTTTGAAATATTATGTGCTATAAAGGTACAAGAAAATCACTTCTTCTTCTTTTGTTCTTCGTGCTGCCTCAAATAAGTCAAAATTATCAGCAATAAAATGAGACTAAGAAATACAAACAGAGCCAAATATTACTTATCATCAAATCACCATCTCTAATTCCCAATTTCGTCTTGTGTAATCTTGTTTAATATTTACTTTATGAGTCATTTTTGGCATTTTCGAATTATATGGTCTTGGACGATTGTCTTCTTTTCTTTTCTTTTACAGGTGATTTTTTTTTCCTGTCCATTTCTGTTCTGTGCGGCCTCTTCTTTAAATTCATATTGCAACACATTTATTTGTTTTCTCTTCTTATTCCTTCTCTAGCCTTAAAAATTTGTAAGGTATGAGAAATCATTTTTAATGAAAAATCTTCTTTTAAAGCCATGTCATCTGCATGAATTGGGTAATTGAAGATTGAGAAAGGAGAAATTGGTATTTTAGTCTATAATTTTTCTCTTGTGATCTTCTGACGAAAATGAGAGATCTATCGAGCCGACTGTTGTGATTTGCTAAAGTTGTATCCAAAACCCATTAAAACGTCCTTCTTCCAAAAAAACAAACTCTATAGCCGATAATTTAAAACAGATTTTTAATAATTTGAGGGACTTAGTATGAAAATTGTAGGTTGATGGGATTATGAGGGGTCTTTATAAGTTTGTTGTCGAATTAAATTGATTTTGGCAGTAGAAATTGTTTGTTTAACATGACTTCTTCTAATCTGGAGAGATTTTAACTGGACAAAACTAATATTGGCATAGAAAATTGAGGTAACCCATGTCTTACTGATAACTGAACTGAACAACAACGGTTCTGTATACTTTGAGCTTCACCTTCTAACATACAGAATATCCTGAACCAATTATTCATTTCAGACCATTTTTCATTTCAAAATGTTTGTAAAATATTTGCAACATTGCCTTTTTAAAGACACCAACCGGCACTAATTTTTTTGATCTAGTTTTGTAAAATTCCTAAAGATTTTCATTCATTTCTTTTGTTGTTATCTTCAAATGGATTTCTCAAGAATTAATGGACTTCCAGTTCCTTATATTAGGCCACACTGAATTTATTATTTTTTTAAAATAAACATAAGCTATTAATCCTTATAAACGAACAATAAAATCCTTAAAAATCGGACATAAAAATGTTCAACTCTCAATCCCTCAAACTTCACCGAAAAAAAAAAATCCATCAATTAAAGTAATAAGACAATTTCTAACACGATCTGATGTAGGTATGAGTTGTGTGTGTTTTTCATGCACCGACACCGACGACTGTTAATAAGGATTAATCAACAATTGACCGCTCAACCGAATTGCAAGTTATTATTTATCTTTCATTTTTCGGCTAAGGAGATGATGAAATGGAACAGATACAGCAATGTCATTGCAAATGCTCATGATTCTTTTTGAACATAAACAAAAGAAAGGAATTTACCGCATTTATATGGAGGCGGATTGAGAGATTCTTGTTCGATAATAATTCCAGTTTCTTTAGCAACAAATGACATAATTCGATTGAAATGCAATGACATGCTTACCTGTTTCGATTGCACATACAAGATCGATCGATAAAAAAGAATCATGCACACATGCGAGTACATTGGTAATTGTGTGGTAGTTGATTATTATACGCTGGTGTGCATTATATGAAATAATATTGAAAATGAAACCTTCTTGTGTCTGCCTCAACCGCTTAGGGAAACAACACACATTTTCTCTCTCACAGAAAAAATTTTTGTACGTTTTTTTTTTCAAAAAAGAAATTTTAGTTTTTCGCCGATGTTCTGAATGTGAAGACGTTTAAATTAAATTTATATCAAAAAAAAAATAATCCGAAACATCGCTTTTCATTGAAGAAAAAAATAAATAAAAGCGTTAAGGAACAGAATAAGAGAAGAAAAGAAAATTCTAAAATAAACCGTGAAAACTTTTTTCTTATTTTCCGGAAACATTTTATTATTGTGGATATAGAGAAAAGAAAAGTCTGGTTAATTTAGTCATAAAAATTAGAATCTTTTTATCGAAATAATTAAGGAAAATAGAAAAGATCATACAATATTAACAGTAAAGGCATCGTTGCATAGAGGAAACAAATTTAATAATTAGTTCAATTCGAAAGAATTTCCATCCAAACATATTTTTTTCTTCATCTTCGCTGTGTTTGTGGTGAAACTTTTCAAAACAGTTGAGCGGTGCTCTAATGTGGAAAGTGCTCTAGTAAAAAAAATTGTTAAAATTTTTCGCACGAGTCGCAAAATATAAATTTATAGAAAATAAAAAATAAAAAGTGAGGTAAGTGAATGAATTGTGTCTAAATTGCCATCACAATAATATAATGTATATATCTTAATTAATCAAATGATATGATTTTCATTTCTTCAAACACGATAGTCATGCGAAGTACAAAAGAATTCTATGAGAATGAAAAGTCTTTTAAATTTAAAGCAGAAGAGATTTTTAATTTGTCGTCTGATCTTGCTTGGGTGGTGCCTTAGGCGCATTTTTTCAAAATATTGACGTTTCTACTCACTAATTATAATACTTTAAGTTTTAACACGGAAGGACCTCTTATCTTCCTAGCTATTAGACAAAATGTTAAAGCAGATAAAAAGCATCAAGTTACGAAAGAAAAATACATTTTTATGACTATGAGCGACGTGACTTTTAAAATAAAAATATTCTCCTAATCAAACACTCTCATTCACAGCCATCAATAGCCTAAATAGTCAGCCAGCCATTTAACAACATAGTCAACCGCACATCACAACAGCGCACAGAGTATTAGAAAAGAAGAAATCACAACGCAGCGCGTCAAGAAATGGATAAGCCAAAAAATAGTGCTAATAAAATTCAGTGAACTATATATTTCGTGCTGGTTAATTAAAGCAAAAAATAATGAGTTAAAAAATTTTTTTTCAAAACAATAAAAAAGTACGAAACGTAAAAATTATAACACATTTAAGTGAATCTAAAAGAAAAGAAAAAAAACCGCAGCAGCAAGCAAGTAACGCAAAAGAACTCAAAAACGGTAAAATAGTTGAATATCAAAAAAATATAAAATACCGTGAGCTTTTCTTCAATTGTTGGTTTTTTTTTATATCCACAGATAGACAAATGAAATAAAAACTTTTTCAGTTTCTCTACGTGCTCGTATTTTTTCTATATTATTAATTCGGTGGAAAAAAGTAGAGTGCAAAAAATTATTAAAAAAGACTTTGAAGAACAAGAAAAAAGAAACAGTTGCGAATTAAAATTTATATTTGGAAAACCTCAAATTAAAACAAATGCAGACAGATATAATGCAAGTAACAATTATGAAGGTATTAACGAATGGATTACTCAAATTCTTGACCCGTTTCTCAGGTAAGTCTCTGAATTGTTGACAAAAAATATAATTTACTTTTTTTAAAAAAGAAAGAGATTCCTTCCTTACTTTTTATGTTATTTTTCTTGTCTTGTCCTTATTTTTTTATCCACAAATCTTTTCGTGGTAAATTTCATGTTCAAACACGATAATTGTGCGTAAAATTGCATTCTTTGTGTCTATCTCTGTTTCTCTTTTGACACAGAAACATGCTGGAATTGAGTAAGAAGTTGAAATCTTTCAGCTTTTCATAAATTGAAATTTAACGGTCATTTTTTAAAAAAGTTTTAAAAGATATTAAATTTCAAGTTTAATCAAACATCTTCGAAAGACCGTCATAGTTTAGTGAGAAAGCCTTGAAATTCAACGACCAATTTCTATTCAGAATTTTTTTTTTTTTTGGGAAAGAAGATTGAAAGATAAAATTTATTTATAAAAATAATTTTTTCCCAAACACCCTTCCCCCAATAATTTTCATATAATAGATAGAAAATGAAGAAGAAGAGGAAAATTAAAAGATATAGAGGAGCGTTAAGAAGTGCATTTGTTCTCTTAATTCATTAAACACACAAGTGTTAATTGACATCTCTACGGCTCAAGAAGGAAAAACAAAAATAATTTACTAATTTTTGTTATAGAATGCTCAATGTTCTGAAAACCAAAAAAAAACAGTCTAAAGACTAAGAAGGTTAATCTCATTGAGTGAAAATGTTTCTTTAAATGCACTTAAGAAAGATTTCTTTTGATTTCATGAGAACGGCAGTTTATCTAATAAATTAAGTTATTGGTATGCATTTTCAACAAATTAAGCGGTTGTTTAAAATATTCGAGTTGTTTCTTAAATAACTTTTGATGTTAATATGACAATTTGTCTATTATTAGAAACATTTGAAGTCAAATTTTTAAAACATTCTGACTTTATGACTGAAAATTGATTTTTCCTTAGTTTTCTTAGTCAATTGGATGTTTATTTAAATAAATGTTGGCTTACTTACCTGTTAAGAAGATTTAAAAGGCATGAGAACCTTTGATTTTCCTGAGAAATTTACTTCCAATTGGATTTTATTTCAACTTTAAATTGAATAATTTGATTCATACTAAAGGATCCTTTAATCAGCGTGAATTCCTCTACGAAAGTAATTAATCATGCAATCTTGCTATTTCAGAGATTATCTATATCGATAGATCCAACCCGTATTCTAAAGTGACTTCATTCGCCATTTTCTGTGTTTATACCCGAGCGGCACAAGGTGGAGGGTGGTCTCCATATGGAATCCATATGAAAGCCACCTCCACTATGTGGGAAGTAAATGGAGGGTTATTTTTTCATCCTTCATATTGATTCCATTTGGATTCCATATGAACTCCGCTTTTTCTTAAATCAAATACCGAAAAACTCGTGCTTTTGAATTTTTAAAAGACAGAGGTCAGATCTTACTGTAATGGATTGAAATATTGTCGAAAAGCTTTACTGAATCATATTGCTTCATTTCAAGCTTTAAAAAAGCAAAAAAGGATAATTTTTTGTGATTTTGTATGAAATTACATACTTCACAAGCGCATGCAGAAATCACTATTATATGGGGTCGTTTAATTTGTATGAAAATTTTTAATAATTTCTTATGTTTCTCACGCGTGTGATCGAGACTTAGAAATTGCTGTGGTTGCGACTTAATTAAATTAAGTTGTAAATTTTTCAATAGTGTTAGTGTACTTTAATTAAGTCCACTAATACAGCTACAAATCTTGATATAAAATTGCGAAACATAGAAAAACACGTAGAAAATCGTACCAAAAATCCTTTGAAAAATACTTCCATTAAACCTCCGTTTGACTACCACAAATGGATCCTCCATCCTCCATCAAAACCTCTCAAATGACTTCCATTTGGTGTTAATAAATGCACGTCCCACGGAGGATTTTCGGAGCTTTGGCTCCGTCAAAGTTCCATGATAGTAAGGTTTTCGGAAGATTTTCAAATGGAGGGTGGAACATGGAGGCTCCGTATAGCTTCCATATGGAAGGCAAATGGAGCCTTTGTGCCGCTCGGGATAAGAACAATGAAAATAAAATTGACGACAATAACACATCACAATAAGGAAAAACTTAATAATCTTAATGTAAAAATCTTCTCTCATATACATTCATGATTATTGTCGAAGAAAAAGAAGAAAAATCATTAAAATAATCGACAGTGCAGTGAAATCGAGGTTCTCCCCCCACACTAATTTATATTTTTCATTAAGATAACATTGTCCCGATCATGAAGAACAAAATCTTACTTTCTTATTTATTTCTTGTTCCTCATCATTTTCGTATTTATGACTCTTTTGAGTCTCAATGTCTTGTGTGTAAACAAAAGGAAGTTATGAGGGTTAATTCTCTTCCTATATGTGCATTGACATTTCTTTCTTGTGCATTAACTTAATTAAAATTTCATTTAAAATGAATTTGAAGCCATCTAAGGATTTTCTCTCTTGATCGTATGTGCTGCTATGCTATGCTTAACTATACTTTGACAGTAATCCAATACGAAATGTTTATATTTTTTTCGTTTAAGTTAATGTTGATATTATCACGTTGTTATGTGTCTCTCAATCTTCATGTTCATGCTATGTACTCTTATGCCTTTTTTGTCTCTCTACCATGCAACCCTTAAGTAATTCTTCAAGAATTAAAAATTAAAAACGTAAAGAACAACAAAAGGCGATTATGGAAATTTTTATGTAGCCCTTGCTTGTATGAGCTGTATTGTACAATACTGAAACTTAATTTACATACGTAGGAATACATTAAAATTATGAATGTATGTGCATTTTAAGAAAAAGAGTGAAGAGGAAATACATAAAAAGGCTTTTTTACATACCCTAACAAGATAATTACATCGGGAACTAATTATTATTGCATTACACTGTTTTTTCATGCTTTTATTGTTGCTGTTGTTATTTGCTGTAATAGGAAAGGCGGTAGCGGTGCATCAATAAAAAAAAACAATTGCTTTAAACTTTTTTTTTGAATATTTTATTTTTCGTAATTGTGCCGTTCTCTACCGGTCGAATAGACTCAAGAGGGTTATGAAGTCTATTTTAAAAGTTTTTATGGGTTTCGAAAGTTTTTTTTTGGAGGATGGGGTCTACTTTATAAGCTAAGAAATAAAGCATGAGTTTAACTAAGAAATGTAAATTCTCTTTTACAGTAAAATTTAATATTAAAGTACTTCAGGAACAGCAAGCAAATCTTGAACTTTCTCGTAATGTCCCGCATCAAACCTTTTCATAAATTACATTCCCAACAAACTTCAAATCGCATAATCATAGATACAATCTTACTAAATTGCATTTCAAAACAGCAGCAGATCACCACAAAAAAAAAATCTAGAAAACATAATGCAAACTGTGAGTTAATGGGGGTAGAAGATGATGACTCATAAATGCGAAAAGAAAATTCTTTAGAGCAATTTTATTTTGTGTATTGGAGAAGCATAAATTATGTCGAGCACAAGTTGTTGAGAGAACATTAAAGTCCTATTATTGAAGTAGAGATTATCATACCTTCAAAAAATTTAAAACTTAATAATTAGTAAAATGTAAAGGAATATTGCCAATAATAAGCACAAGAACTATTTCCATTGATCAATTTTGAACACATGCCGATAATGCATGGACTGACTAATAACATTAAAAAATGCAATCAAGAGAAGAATTTTTTGCGAGCAGCAGCAGAAGCAGATTCAAACAATATAGATATGCTTAAATCTTTAACCAAAAGGTAGATTATGCACCTGACCAAAAAAGCTTACACACATTAGAAATCATCAACATGCGATTGTTAATCAAATGCCTTTATACATTCAGTCGTTCATTTATTTCGGGACGCAAAAAAGAGCAGCAAAGAGATTAAAATTCCAGCGAAATTACACATGTCAGACATTTAATGTTTTGAAAGATAAAATGAAATAAAGGCAACAGAATATCTTCAGCATGCAATTCAGTCTCCTTTATTCGCTCTCAATTTTGTATATATTATATTCACCTTCCCTAAAGAACAGCGTTGGTGCCTAGTTCAAACAAATTTTACTAGTAGAACATATGATTTAAGGGTTAGTTCCACTTTTCCTAATTGTATCACTCTTGCAATAGCTTTAGCCACTAAATAAACCCAAAGATGTATATTTATCAAACAAGTCCCTAAAGCAATCCCATAAGTTCCAACACTGTTGAAATTGTGCGCCCTGGATTGCATAATTGGTTTAGGCTCTCAGTCTCTATCTTCCTCACTCCCTTTTTAATATATCCCAATATTCATGAATATTATTATATCGTTCTCAATATTATATTGGGCAACAGCAGCCACAACAGCAGCATATAGTTTGAAATCAGCAAAGAGCAATAGAGTTAATATTGTTTTCATAGCCTCGAGCCAAAAAAATCAGAACGAACAGCACAGAGGATAAAAAAGATTGCAAAGCAGCAGCAGCAACGAAACAGAAATGAATGTTTTTATGCGCTTGGAGCTACGTTAAGCATACGGAGATGAGAAAAATTGCATAGTGAAGTGTATTTGCCTTCTCAACTGATCAAGAAGCATAAAGAGCGCATATTCGCCCTAAAGACGCAACTAATTATTTTAAAAAATTTCATCTCTCTTTGTCTTAAGATTCTTTCCATTTGGCTCCAAAAAATGTGTGTGCATTGACTGATACAAATAATCTTCTTTTCATTATTGCTGTGGCAGTTAAGAATGCATATATCAACAAGGTACATGAAAAAATGCAGACACAATTTTATTCTCGGTTGCTTCTCTCTATCCCTGTGTTCCTTCCAATATGCTGTTATGAATATTTAATAATATCAAATCATATTTTTAATGGAATTAATGAAGAGCCAATAATTCACTGAATTGTGCTTGAATAAGAAGACTTTTTCATTCATTCAAAAATATGTGTGATGCCTCATATAGTCAGGCATCTAAATGAGACAGTATTTTATTGTTTCTAAAGAATTTTCGAGGAATTCCGACTCTATAAACTTCAGAGTGAAAAGCAAACAAAATTCTTAAACTTATTCAAATTTTGCTAATTATCTGAATTGTTTCACGCTTCTTCATGTGACATCATTTTTAAAGTATGTATGCATGGAAAAATGAAAATGTATGCAAATAAATTCGAAAAATAGTTTTCAATTCTGCTATGGAATTTTTGTGATAAAAGCTTTTTATTCATTCGTGCATTGTTTTGTGAACAAGTAAACTGCTTGTGGTGTACAAATTTAAGATTCCTTCAAGTGGCTATAGATAGATTGAGTTGTTGTATAAAATTATGATAATGACTCATTTAGATAATGATTAATATTCAGTGGTCAGTTAAGAGACTTATCATGACATTGACTTGATGCTTAGTAATGATGAGCTGATTAGCATAACATCAATGAGCAATATTATCAGATTAAAGTCTATTCTAAAGACAAGTTAAACGTAGTTTCAATCAAAATCTTTCTGCTTCCTAAAAGCTAGAAACTTATAGCAGCTCATAGCTATACATAAAAATTCTCCATCAAAAGGTGCGACTGCATTAAATCAATTTTGAGTTTACTTAAATTCCATCATAAACACAATTTAAATTGTATAAATAATATGTTGCATATATAAATGGATATATTGCAGAGTCTTAAATGCTAACGATCATTATGATGATGATGCGAATTAAACAGTAAGAAAAATTCAAATTCAGAAGATTTTATGCTGCACAAAATTTATTCAAATGCATTTCGGTGAATTTTGAATGTATTTAAGATTTACATCGAGGAGGTGGATCCGAATGAGAGAAAAAAGAAGGTTTTTCTCATTTTTATTTTTAATCGAGTAGGAATATAAAAATGTATTTGTTTAATTTCTTCATCGCCTCGTGTGTCTTTATATTTAAATATGAAATAAATAAAGCGAATGAGAAGGATAAGAAAAAGATGAAATTCAAGCAGTGAGAAAGCATGAAATAAATTTCAATTAATTCAATTTTTATAATAATTTAAAAACAATTACATATCATAAAAATTCATTTTTTTCTTTTGTATAGCACCTAGCTAGCTTTCGAAATGTTGCTTTTTTGAATTGAATTTTTTTATTTTATATTGTTCTTATGGATATCGAAATAAAAATAGACATAATTAAATTTAAAAGATTTTTTTTATAATAGTGCTGAAACTCACAACTTTCAATAGCACACAATAAATCGTCAATAATTAATATTTTAATATTTTTCACTTCATTTTTAATTATTGCCTATGCCACAAAAAATTAATATCCAATTGATAAATGAGCGCGTGCCGTAAGATAAATTCTCATACAATATGATTATTAACGCCTTAACAGGAGATAGAAATGAAGAGAGAAGTAGTTTCCATAAGAAGATTTGTGAATAATGAGTGCGAAGACAATCAAGGTCTCTGTTTGCGATGATTTGCTGGATTTTTGTGGTTTATATCTGGATCTTTATTCACTTTGGGTGGGTTGCTAAGGAGAATTGTGAGTCATGTTGTGAGGGCTCAAACTATAATTGTTACACACACTTGGAAAATGCCTTCTTCAAGTTTTATCAATCTGAAACTTTTTGATCCCACTTTCCTCAGTTCCAATAGCTTTATTCAAGTGATATCACATCCTTTTCTCCATCTAGTGCCGGTTAGTCTTTTCAATTATTAACGACCTGCTTAAGTACAATTAATTTGATTGTGTCTCGAATTAAGATGCGTCTCAATTATCCAACAAACTAAGATAGACACCAAACCGTTTACAACAATCACCTTTCTTTAAAGGTCCAAAGCAAAACGTTCCGCATTTTAATTTTTGTTATAAAAAAGAAGAAGTTTTCATTCACCAAACTGAGAGATTAAAGAAGCAATAAAATCATTCTTATTAATAATAATGATAATGTGAATGAATAAGAAAAATCAAGAGCGTGCGCAAAGGTAAAAAACTGTTATAAAATAATCCCGATCGCATGTTTCACAATGAATACAAAATAATTTTTTTTTACTCAATTCTTTTATTTTCTTTCTGTGCTTTTTTTTGGGATGAAGATGAGGCAGCAAATGATGAAAAAAAGAAAAACAAAGAAGATAAATTCAATTAATAACTATCAAGCAGAATGTGATAAAAACAATAAACTTTTTTTTTTCGGTGAACAATTGCCGATAAACAGTAAAGAAAGAGCAGAAAGAGAGTGAGACTAAAGACAACAACCAGAGAAAAATAAAAGAAGATGAGAAAGGAGGCAAAAAATGAGTTGATTGTTAGGGATTAAAGGTTTAAGCGTCAGATTATTGCTATTTATGTTTTTTCACTCACTGCCTCACTTCATCTCAATCAATTGATTAGCGATTTGGGTGACTATCTTAATTGGATGATAAGGGTATGGTAATTTTGTGGATGAGTAGCATGAGAAGTTTTTACTGAGTGGAATATTTTGATGGAGATTTGGTATTGTTTTGATATATTTTGCTGTATCTAATGGCTGATGGTTTCCATGCAAGTGTTAAAATAATCAATCATTATGCTAAGTTCTTATACAGTCCTTAATATTCATCAAAACCAGTATAAAAAGAAAGGTTTAAGCCTAGCTGCCCAGAACATTATTAAACAATTCACTTGCTTCTTACCCTCACTCTTTATAATTTATTCCATGCTCGCGCAATAACTGTGTGCTTATGCGATGTAAAAAAAGCCGGCAAATGTGATGATGTGAAGGATGAAAAATTATGATGCTTTATAATGCTTTTTAAAAATAATTTCATGAGATCAGTAAAATAAAGTAAGGTAAAAACTACAGCAAGATAAAGAGGCGAGAAGGAGAAAAACCAAAGAAGCAAGTGATTAATTTTCTTATTTAAAATAATATAATATTAAATATATAAAGGCATAAAGCAAAAAGAGCGATGAGAAACAATTGAATCATAACGAAACATCATCTGCCTCCACTTCTTCTCCAAAGAAGAATTGAAAATTCGTGCAAAATTCAGTGGAGCGTGCGATATGAGAAAATTGTAAGCGGTTAGCATTGAGACTCCTCGAAGCAAAAAAAAAGTAAAGTCAATAAACAAATAAAAGCGCGGCTTTGCCTTCCCTTTTCTCTTCTTTTTGAGCTGCTTTTTTTTGAAGATATACCGAAAATATGCCGATGTGCAACAGATAATCACTTGGAAGTAAGAGAAAAAAAAATGAAACACTTTAATTCAGTTTATTCTTTGCTCGCTGTGTGTTAATTTGTTCGCTCCCGGTACTCGATGGGCTGTGAAATTTGGCATTTGATTGAAAATTATTATACATAATGTTGTTCTTTATAAATATTGAGTACATTCATTCGATGATTATTATTTTTATTTGTTTCAATCAGCGGTTATTTTCTTGTAAAACTTTATAAAATATATAACAAAAAAAATTAAGTCCGCTGTTCCGTTGAAGTTTTCGTTTCTTGACCAAAAAGAAATTTCTCATATCTATCAAAAATTTAATTTCTTTTCTTTCTTGAGTACATAAAGCAGTTCTCATTTTTGATGGACGTGAACTGTTCATCAATCGAAATCAATACAATACTGATAGATTGTTTTTTTTTATTTCCAGGACGAAGACGAATACAAGTGAAGCATAAAAATGAGATGAAAAATCAACGAAGCCATAACGTCAATCTCAAAGTGCCCAGCTGTCGATTTTATAATCGTCTCTACACAATGCCAATAGTTTTAATGTTATTTTTTAGTGCAGCATGTGATGTTACAGGTAAATAATACGAAATTTTGTTTATGGTTGTTCCAAGTTATTTAAAACGCATTTCTTTGCTCGAGTTTTGATTGTCAAATTCAGCTACTTTTTAAAAAAATTTAAATATGCCATTTTGAAATTGATTTGAAAAAATCTCAGGTCAAAAAGTTTTATTGAATTTTTGGGACAGTTCAGCTATATTTACTTACATTTGTAATGATAATCTGCAAGAAAACATGGCAAAAGCTAAATAATGCAAAATTTTTTCAAAAAGGCAATTTTAAACTAAAATAAATCATTCAATCCAAAAATTCTATGCTTTTTAAAAACGTAAAATTCCAACGCACTTAATAAAGTAACAATGTAAGTCACACAAAAAAAAGTTACAATAAGATTCCCTTCTTTTTTGCTCCATATTTACCACCGTTTTATTTGATGCTGCTGAAGCATATGTGTAAACATATAAGAACACAGAACAAATCATATTGTGCATACAAACATGCATGTATACACAGATATGTTTATATTTTTTCGGGGTTCCTTCCTTTTTCGCCGTTCTCCTCATGCTTGTTTTGGATTTTGCACCTTGTGTCTCTTCCTGTTTCCATCCTCTCAAATTACATTTCGCTCAACACATTTTTCATTTCTTTTTATCGGGTCTTATTCATACATTATATGAATGAATGCTTAAGAAGAAGAAATGAAAAAAGGAGCGAGTGAGTAAGAGAGACATAATGTTTTTAATGGATGGTAAATTGGGCACAAGCCTATTATTTACTGTGACATACTGCTCATGAATATATTTTCATTGTATTCACTATTAAACTTTATGTACAGTTCAGTTCATGAATAGAGGAATTTTGTTTTATATTCACAATTTTTTCCTTTGGTTTTTTTTTTCTTTTATTTTTCAATTATTATAATACACATTCGGGTTTAGGTATGTATAATAGCACAGTGTAGCTAGTAGGGATGAAAGAATTATTAGAGCAGTTGTGCAATTGCTTTATTAAATGTTTTATTCCTCTTTAAGATTCTCTTTTGCTTAACAATAAGAACATTTTTATTTCTTTAAATGAATTTTAAATTTTTATTATTTTTTTTTTCCGTTGCTTAAAGGCAAGGAAAAAGAATTTTTTGCTACAGTTTTGTGCCATTTGGCCTGTAATTTGATATTACTAGAAAGCCTTATGATGCAAAAAAAAGAAAAATATTTAATGAAAATTAAGGATAGGCACACGACATACATACATGTACATAAAAGAGAGTAAAAAGCTAAACAGCAGGCAATGGTTGTTAGCAACAAACAGTCGTCTACTCTTTCCAAAGTGGTGTCATATTAAAAAGGCAATGAATGGACTAAATAATTTAAAGGTCGGAGGTAGATACTTAATTTGATTTTATTAAAGTTAATGGAACGCATTTTACATTAAATTGATGACTTTTATGATTATTGCTGATTATGTTGATTATTTCCTTGTAAATCTGCTGAAACTGCTTTGAGTTCAAAGTAATTTTTAAAGTTTTAATAGTAACGGAAGTAAAGCAGGTCTTTAAAGTAATAAAAAAAGAAAAACAAAATAGCGACTTAAAATTCTTCTCACCTCGAAAAGTTTTTACTCAATTTTTAAAGCTATTCGATTAATTGACTCGGAATCATCGAGTAGTACATGCCTACTATATGGCAGCAATCAAATCGTAAAGCAGTAATGAGTTTGAATGTTTTTAATCATGAATTATCGTGATGACAAACCAGCCACCCAAAATGAACAATAAATTCAATTGCCCTCAATGGAAATTGCACAGAAAAGACACAATTTTTACGTGTAATTGTAGCGAGTAGGGGCTCATTTTGCACACTTTGAAGAAGAGCAAGAACAAGAGCAGTGCGTGAATTAGTTTGATGAACTCCATAATTGTAAATTTAAATGCCATGTGAGCTTAATTGCGTGCTACACGTGAAATTAACATTTCGAGGTCGTGGTCTAACGATTTCCAAGAAATAAGAAGCTGAAACATTCTAATGAAAATTCCTTTAAATCACTGAGAGCATGCAACGGCCTCTCTGCCGCATTTTTATTGCTATTTCTTTCAAACTAATACATTCTGATTGAATATTTTTTGGAATTTGCAATTCCATTTTTTTCCATTTTTTCTACAACTTATGTTGAAATTAATTATTTTAAAATGAGCAAAAAGAGAAATTGCGGGAAGAAAACAATCATGATTAATGGGATATTTAACAATGCAATTAAATCCAATTTAAACATTTTCACTTCCAGAAGCTTGTAGAAGTCGCACAATTTATAAGCCACGCACAACACCAACACCCAGTCCAAGACCAAATATTACATTCCACACTTACAAATGTCCCGAAGCATATGCAACATGGTACTGTCTTAACGGTGCTACATGCTTTGCTGTAAAATTGGGGATGGAGGTTCTCTATAATTGCGAGTAAGTTTTGATATGCTTAACTTTATGAGCTTTTTAACTCATTATTTTCATTTAATAGATGCAAAGATGGATATATTGGACCAAGATGTGACTACAAGAACCTTGACAACTCATATTTATGTAAGTCTATTAAAACTTATTTCAATATGCAGGTTCCTATCTTAATTTCTCCCAAATACAGCAACAAGATCTCGTGTAATGTTAGAAACAGCTAGTATTGCTGGAGGAGCAGTTGCTGCCTTATTACTAGCATGTATTGTGGGTTTCTTTGTCTACCTCAAAAAAAATGCCATAAAGCAGTGCGAATTTGAAGTTGAAAGTCAAAAGATAAATCATCATCATGACATAATTAAGCTTCATCGGTGTCAGAGTGGATGTCAAATTTCAGATCAATTTACTATTGTCATAAAATACCACAATGGATGACAGAATGAAGTTTTTGATTTCAAAGATTGAAGATTGTTCTGATGGAAATGAATCCAGATCTCATGAATGAAATTTGAAGTCGTAAGTTTTTGGACAGAAATGGAACAAAAGAATAACTTTAATTAATTGGATATTATTTTTCGATTTTTTACAGTGGCTAATGAAGCGTCGTTATAGGCACGAATGACACAAAGGAAGAGTAAAAGACTTGATGGAAAATCTTATTTTATTGCTGTGATATTAGAATACCCAAAATAAAAGATTTTTATTTATGAAAAAAATTGTCTTAAAATATTTAAGAGTCACACAAATTGCGTTTGTTTTGATTTTCATGAAATATAGCAGCAATGGCATTGACAACTGGTATAGAATTTTACAACTTTTCGTCGGTTACAGCCTCATCGGTTAATTTTTATGATCCCATACGCGCTTGACATTTTCATCAATTTGTTCTATTTCTATTTCATAATCTAATGTGCTGGTTGTCATAATAAAATATCTATGACTGCAGATGATCATTTTCTTAGAATAATATTTAACACCCTTGTAAATATGCTATAAATAAACATCACTCACTTATATCCATAAAGCAAAAAATTTAAGTGGACCAAATCCAAAAAAGGAAAGAAGTCAGATGGCATTAACTTATTATGAACATGTCCATTCCTCGGCAATTCGTTCTCGACGTCTTCCTCCTAATGAAACATGACGATTTGTTTGTCAACAGACGAATAGCTAGCCATTAGTTTTACGGCACGTGATAAAAACCTTTTTTTTTTTGACTTATTTTACGACAGATGGTTTTTGTAGTGTATTTCCTTAAAGTGGATATGACTTTTTAAAACAAACACTGCTTGTGATTGATAAGCTGGATAATATACTGAAATTGAGGAAATATTGGGTGATTATTGTAAAATTTGTGGATTTTATGGATGTTTAGGTCAAACTCCAATTCTGTCGGCAATAAACATTTGTATAGGATGTAAGGAACCATTCAAAAGTGATTATAATCTTACTAAGCTTAATATCTAGAGGACCATTTAAAAAATTAGAAAAAGAATATCTTTGACTATCCCTGAGAAGCCATAAGATCCCACAGTTATACACATCCACAAGATATCCAACAAATCAAATTATTCATGGAATTTCCGTTAAAAGATCATTTAGTGAAGTTTATGGCTGAATCAGATCATTTAAACATAAATCCCTTCAATAATCAACTATTCCTACCACTTTTCGTCACATCCTGTATTTGAGCACCAAACATTCAACTTTCAACCACCGCGTGCGCACATTCAAAATATTTTCAAAGAGCAGATGATAATTTTTAAAGACAAGATAGAATGTCATTAAGATTCATAGAAAGAAGGCTGACAATTTCTAATGAAGACGACAACTTTCTCTGTATTAGGTATGCAAGGAATAAAATTTATTACTCTAGGTCTATGTCTTCATTCGTAAGGAATTTGAATAATCATTTGTTATTAATGATGTGTTTATTTATTTATTAAATGACGTACGACATGAAGATTGATGCATCAGGATATGCATTAAAAAAAACAAGAGGAAAGGTTAAGACTTAGGGTTCATGACTGTGTAAAAGGATATGTGGAAGAATTACGAGTTAATTAACAGAGAGCATGTTTTAATTTTTTTAAAAGAGAAGACGATGTTGAAATTTATTGACAAAGACATCAATTAAGCAACGATTAAACGTCGTCTTGTGAGAGCTAATAAGAAAGTGTTTTCACATCGCACAGCACTTGTTCAAATTATAGACCACATGATCAAATATTGAATTAAGTTTTCGGTGACATGATTGTATTTCCCATGTAATCGTGACCGATGCCGTACTTTTGATGTTCATTTCTGAGAAATTTCAGGTCATTTTTGAGGACATTGATAAAGTTGTTTGATTTTGATATCTTTTGGATCATGCGACAAATTTGTTCCCTTAAATTGATGATAGCGACATCTTGAAGAGTGTAATCATTGATTGTTGAGTTCTTTATGTAGCATAAATCACTTTTAGTATGATTATTTTGAACTTCCGACAATCTTTTATCAATTGCTGAGTTCTGTCCGGAATTGATGAGAGTCTCTGCAAATGTCTTTGTCAATTTGTCTTTCTTCCTGAATGTTCTTATAAGCGACTTCTTTATTTGCTCAATGGCAGGAACTAGACTCTTATTTTGTTCAACAACTTTTTCGTAGTCTTCTGTCAAAAATCGCATCTTTTTGTCATATTCATCGTCAATCTTCATTTGAAGATTTTCCTGCTTAATATGTTCTCTCGTATCGTTCTCTACCTTTTCCAATTCAAACCTTTTCTCGATCAAGGAAGTCTCTAAAATTGTGATTTTTGGCATCAAATCCACCCTCATCCGCAAGTCCAATTTTTCACATTTGAGTTTAATCAGAAACAGGCTTTCATACTTTTTAGTGAACGCTTCCTTAATTCTTGTGACTTCATTGTTAATGTCTCTTTCCAAAATTTTAACTGGCGTGAGTTTTGATTTATAAAAGTCAGTCATACTGATTGCTTCAAATGTCATTTTTCGTTCTTTTTGCTGATATGATGACAACTCTTCCTGTAGCTTTTTCAAAATTTTCTTGCCCAACTCCTTGCAGTGCTTAAGATTGTCAATTCTTTTTAACAATACAGGCTTTTGTTCTTTGAGTGGCAATCCAAAAATTTCCATATCCAGACATTCATCATTATCATCTTCACTTTTGGAGCACAGAAGTAGACATTGAAGTAAATCCTTGATTTTACTCAGAGCATCAAATTTTCGGAGCTGATACTGATATTCTGATTGAATAAGCTTATTAGAATCTTGAAAAACAGGCACAGGGTCTTCAGTTTGGTCGAAATTCTCTTTTACATAACATTTGTTGACAACCTTTCGAAGGCAATCGATTTCTGATTTAAAGTTATTGCAATTGTCGAAGAATTTTGTTGTTTTATTTTTCAGATATGGCTCGTAATGTTTGAGGTAGTCAGACTTGCAAATAAGTGACAAATTCATAATTAAATTAATTACTACAAATTTAGAATTTTGAAAAGTTTTAATAAATTAAATAGGATGTCAATCATTACTAAGATTGATATTAGCTTTATTTTTCAGGCACATTCAATTTTTAATGATAAAGGTGCTGCCCATATAATCCCTTCCCAAAAGCACTTTCTGTTCTGCTTTCAAGGCTTCTTTTGATAAATTAATATATCGTCGACCAGAGGATTTCTTTTGACTCAATTTTGTCATGTATTGTCCAAGTTTTTTAATGGAAAATTCAGAGACTTCGATATTGTCTTTCAAAGCTTCTATATTGTTCCTTAAATCTTTTATCACAATGTCTTCTTCAGAAAGTTTCACTGATGATTTTTCAATATCAGCCTCAACCGATTGTTTCCTCTCTATCATGTGATCAACGGTCCAATTGTCATGATCCTTAATGACTTTCAATTTCCTTCTGATAATTTTCCTCGTCAATTCTAGTTCATGATCGATTTTGCAGATTTTTTCTTGGATGCAATTGACAATTGACAGCAATTTATTTGAATTTTCAAGCATATCCTCATACTGAAGTTTAAGATTCTCAAATTGTTCTATTTCAGCTTTAGTGACTTTTTTTTCTTTGTACTTTTTAATGCAGCATTTATATTGTTTAAGAATCTTAGTCTTGCTACACAAAACTTTGTCACGTTCTATCATTTCTTCCATAGATTCTTGAAGAAGATTTTCAGTTTCAATATAAAGGCCTTTAAACTGATTAAGTTCTGATAGCTTGTAAAGGAATTTGTCGCGCATTTCATGGATCTTTTCGTTGACTTGCCGCTCAAGAATAGAATTTTTCTTATCAATTTTTCTCAGCATATTCCCCTGCTTTACAGAAATACTTTCAGTCGCAAGAATTTTTCTCTGTAGTTCCATCGAATCTTTTCCAAGATCATAAGCAATAAGTTTAAAGACATCCAATTTTTCATTCAATTTCTCAATCAAATCTTTATAAACTTTTGGTAACTTCTCTTGTAAATCATTTTTAACAACATCTTTCTTCCTAGTTCGTTCAACCTGAATATCATTTTTGGCACTTTCGCACTCCTGTTCCAAGTTCTTCCTGAGATAAATCAAATTAACAAGCTGTTCACACATTGAATTTTTAGACATTTTTGAATGAAAATATAATTAAGGCAATGACAACTTCGGTTCTTAATTTGTAATATAATATTTAACTTAAACCAGTTTCTTTGTTTATTAAACTTAATTAAAACTTCACTTTTTGTTGTGTACATTTACTCATTAATAAAGAATTATTTTCAATTTGTTTCCTCATAAAAATGTTTAAAATATTTTTATCCTGTTCCGTTTGACGATCTTTTACTCTGTTTTGATTCCTGTGCTTTCATCAACTGATTTTTGCTTAATTAATTTATCTTGAGACAATTGATTATTATTCCCACCAGAACTGCTGCTCGTTTCATTTCGATGACGTTTTGTGTCAGCTTGAAGTAAGGAATTGGAATTAACATTTGGTGACACGCTTCGATCTCTCTCTCGATTATTTGTACCCCCGTTATCATACTCTTCTAAATACTTATCCATTATGTCAGTTACACAAGGATTCAAGTTGTACTTTTTCTTATCCATTCGAGCCTTATTTGCAAATAGATCTGCACGCTCTGTCTTCTTCCATAAATAGTAAAACTCGACTAATTCGCCAACAGATCTGGTTCTTACCTAAAAACATACAGTTTAGCATTACTTAAATTGTAAAATTAATTGGAATGTTATATCATACCTTTTGTGCCTGAATTTCATGAAAACATTTTCCGTGCATCTTAAGACCATTTTCAAAGTTTCGACATTCTTCCTCACTCCAAATGCTCATGGTATTTGTTGGTTTCATAGTGTTTCCCAATCGTCTTCTACGTAGTGCCTCTTCACAATTGTTGCCACATTGAACTAATAGAAGTAATGCCTGCTCATCATCACGTAAATGCTTTGTTACTGTAGTTTGAGGTGTTGTATGATTAACACCGCCATTGGATGTAGTTGAGAATTTATTAAGATAGTCTTCGATTTCATTATCGTTGACTTTACTTGGATCCCAAAGCAGTTTATCTTCATTTTCGTAGGGTAGAACGTCATCGTATTCTAAGAGACCTTCAGGAATGACTGCTTGATAATCAGATCCTACCATAATAGTTTTCTTTCCATCATCTTCGTCCGGTACATAATCGAGATCTTCCTCATCTGATGCTGTTGGATCGAGTTTCAATTCTCCGTCTTTTTCAGTATTACCATAAATTCCTGTATAAAGTTTCTTTAATTCTGACGGTTCTGCTTCATCCTCAAAGTTTGTTTCATCATCAACTGATTGATTTTCAAGATTATTAGTAGCTGTTGTTGTGGTTGTTGCATCATCATCGCCTGAATTTTCTACAACATCTTCCTGTGTTGCTGATAAAGCTGTAGAATCTTCACTCTTTTCTGGAACTTCTTGTGGGGATTTTTTACTGGTTTTTGGGGGTGTTTTATCTTGACGTTTGCGTCTCTTTCTCGATGATGACGATGCTGAACTAATTGTAGCTGGTCCACTTCCATATCCATATAATTTTAATAGCTCTTCGATTGGCATTTCACTTTCACGCTGTAAGTCTGAAAGTTCTTTTCCTGGATCTACTTGTTCCTTTGCGGCCATTGCTTCTTCGTCTTCTAATGTCTGTTCCTCATCAAAATCATTTACTAGCATATCAACTGTCGGCTCAAACAAGGTATCATCATTAGACTCTTTCAAAGCAGAATCTTTATTAGTCTCGGAGTCTTTTACATCCTTTATATTCTCACTTTCTTCATCTATATTTTTATCCTTTTCATTATCCATGTTCTTAGAACACGATTCACCTTCATCAGTTTTCATATCACGGCTTTTAAAGCTGCAAATAAAGGATCATTAATATCGGCGCAAAAACTTTGCTGCTTGAAGCACAAAAATTGTAAAACCACAGATAATGATGATTTTCTCGTCCAGTATACCTTAAATAAGTAAAATTCCTTAATTCCGGTGCAAAACAGTTTGGATTAATTGATAATTTATGTTATTTTAAATAATTTTTCATGAAAAAGGTCTTAAAATTTGTTTTCTTTGAATCTTACTGAACTAGTAACTTCCTCATTAAGCATGACAGAAATATCAAAAACATCAAGTTTATGAAGACTGCTGTAAAGTTCTATCAAGTTTAAAAACTTTCTAAAGTCAATCAAAGTGCGCTGAATTTTCTCATATTTCATAATTTAAGCAGTGAAATGAATGAAAAATCATAATAATTTTAAGCAGTGTTGCAAATGAAGATGTCTACACTAGATGAAGAATGAAGATTATTCAATAGTTTTTGTCTAGGTAAGAAACTTTCTTCATAAAGATCGATTATACATGTATATAGAACATCCAATCTTTATATAGATTATTATATTCACACCGTTTTCACGTGTGAATCTAGGGGCTGTTCACTTATTACGTAACGCAAAAAAATGACTTCTTAGACCCCCCCCCCCCCCCCTCGTAACAAAATTTGTATGAAAAAAAAATTTCCTTGTTTGAACCGTAACAAAATCTTAGACCCCCCCTCCCCCTAAAAGCGTTACGTAATAAGTGAATGGCCCCCTATTGGTTTTGTTCAGAATGAAAAATCAGTTTTTCGCATTTTGTGAGAATATGGAGCAAGAAAGCTTAAAACGATCAGAGATGAAAAGTTTGTGCTTGAAATTTTACATATTCTGCAAAAAAGAGATTTCAATAACGAGACATCCTAGAGACTTCTAGTTTTTTACATTTGATCCGTGCTGCTCTGTAGAAGAGCTGTATTGTTTTTGGGCAAGGTAGGAACAGCCGTTGCTTCAGAAAAAGCAAAAAACTTTCCTTTATTGCGAATTTTTCAAAACAAAAGTTTACTGTGATTTTTATAAAATTAAATTTTGAATGAAAAAATTTAAAATACTTTATAAAAAAAACTTTTTAAAAAACCACGTTTTTGCCAGTTGACTAAAAAGTAGAAAATAATTTTTTTATTGGGTTCAAAGGATATTGGTTTGAAAATTTGAGATTGATTTGAAAGTTTCATACTAAAGTCATGACCATACATGAATTGCAAATTTGTTCACATCAACCATATCGTATAAGTAGTTCTACATCTTAAAACGTGGGCGCATCTAATGAAATTTAAGCTCTCCAAGTATACAATATTAATGAATGCGCCCACGTTTTAAAATGTAGAACTATACGATATGGTCGAATTGAACAAATTTGCAATTCATGTATGGTCATGACTTTAGTGTGAAATTTTCAAATCAATCTCAAATTTTCAAACCAATATCCTTTGAACCCAATTAAAAAAGTTATTTTCTACTTTTTGGTCCACGGGAAAAAACGTGGTTTTTTAAAAAGTTTTTTTTATGAAGTATTTATTTTCTACTTATTAGTTTTAAAAAATTATTCAAAGTATCAATAGATCAGATGTGTGATCGCACAGCATAAGTTTGTAAACTAGAACTAAACCAAAGAACGTCTCTATCGATCAGCTGTGCTTCGCACAGTATAAGTTTGTAAACTAGACTCTTACCATAAAAAGTCGTATAACGTATTTTTTGTGATTCAAACTTTTAACGTCTTTTTGAAGTTTAAAATTATTGAACGCTGTGCATATGTTATGTAAAAATAAGCTAAGCCTTAAACAGTAGAAAATTTAATTTAATTGTACTATAATTAAGCATTTTTGAGTTTCTAAAATGCTTGATTATTGTATTGTCATCGGAAAGATAAGTGCATGCAAAATTTCTGCTCGATTATAGCTGTAGAAGTGATCGAAAAATTGATCGCAAGATTTTACCAAGACAAACAATAATAATAGTGTGTTTATTATGAAATTAGATGCATTTTACATGTCACAGGAGCTTAATTTTAACACCAACTTTTTTGGTTTCAATTTAAATTTACAATGATTTTTAGTTCGAGATTATGAAGTTAAGACAGTTTGATGAGTTAAAGGATAAAAAATTGTTAAAAAAATCCAATGTGATAGCAGTTTTATAGAAAAAATAAAAAAGAATAGTAGAATAAAAAAAAAACCTAATCTTTAAGAGATTGAGGTTTTGGAAGTCTGTGCTTCAATCTGAAATCCAGAGAGTCATAATTGTACTGACCTAAATTGGCAATCAAATTATTATTATGCGAGGAGCACTGAGCATAAAAATTTAGAGAAAGTTTAATTGCATATTCATGAACTGATGGTATATTGGCTTGAGAATGGATAGATTCATTTGAGATGAAGTCATCCCAGTTGATTTCAAAGATTTGTCTCAGCATTTTGTTTTGGAACAATTGTAATTTATTAAAATTGGTCTTGGCACAGTTAACGAATATCGGGCAGGCATATGTGATTATAGGTCGGATAATGGATTTGTAGATACGAAGTTTGGAGTCGCTTGTCACACCCGACTTTTTCTTAAGTAAGGAGTATAGGGACGAATACGCAACGGCCTTGGCTTTTGTAAGCACAATGTCTAAATGATGTCTGAATAATAGCTTGGTGTCCAAATGAACACCAAGATATCTTACGTGCGCTTTCCAGCTGTGAGAGATATTGTTAAGAATTATGTTATCAGTTTGGCACATACGGATCATATTGGTTGATCTCGTGAAGATCATGAATTCAGTCTTATTGTCATTAAGTGAGATTTTCCAGTACCAAGACAAACAGAAAGACAAGAAAGCAAGTTAAGAAAAACGTGGTAATAATAAAAAGTTAATAGACAGACCAAAAATAAATACTATATAGCTAATGTACACAACTTTTTGAATTTCAAAAACATTTTTTTAAAAACTCTCTGTAACGGTTTTTTCGTTCAAAATTGTCAAGAAATGCCTTTACAAAGTATCTAGAAGGTCTGAAACTTTGTAATTTTACTCGCGAACAGAGTCTTAATAATAAATAGAGTTTTTGTGGGAAGCAATTAATCACCGAAATAATTGTCAAACTATAAAGCGCTTTTGAGACGCACTTTCACGAACACTTTTACTTGTTCGATGTTTGAAGTTTTTCTTTATAACATTTAATTTTAATTAAAGTCATTAAAATGGTAGATTATATGCGTGAGCAGCTTGATGAACTGATGGGAAGGAACCGGAACTTGCCGGCAGATCAGAAAGGAAAAGAAAGATCATGGAAGGATAGTGAAAATTGCAAGTTTTTTCTGGTGAGTCTAATTTCATTATTGATTTAACACATCCAATTTTCATTTGTTTATTTCTATAATTAACAACTTTTGAATTGAATTATATTGATTAAATGTTTCTATTTCTATATGATCCAGCATTCATTTTGTCCGCATGATTTATTTGTGAATACAAAATCGGATCTTGGTCCATGCACAAAATTACACGATGAGGAAATGCGGAAAATGTATCAGGAAGCAGCAAGATGTAGTCGCAAATTAGATATTGAAAACGAATTTGTACGATTTATATCAAACATGATTCAGGAAGTTGATCGAAAGATCCAGAAAGGAAAGCAGCGACTGGATCTTATGAATTCAAAACTTGATCAACGTCCTCTTTCTAAACAGGCAGAAACAATTGCTAATATCAACGACAAAATATCAAAGCTCATACGTGAAGCAGAAGAAGCTGGCGTGCGTGGAGATGTCGATCAAGCACAAAATTTGATGGAATTGTGTGATAAGATGAAGGAAGACAAAGATGCGCTCATAAAGCAGTACGAAAGTTGTGGATTTAATTTCTCGGAGCAGAAGGAAATGGAGGTATGCAGTACATGCGCAGCTTTTCTCGTTATAGGCGATGCACAAAGTCGGATTGATGATCATTTAATGGGTAAGCAGCACATTGGATATAGTAAGTTGAGAAAAGCACTTCAGGATCATAAAGCATACATTGAGAAGGAATTGAAAGAACAACGATCAGGATCCAGTAGTAGTTCGCGACGTCGAGATGATCGATATAGGTAGACTTATTTGAATTTCAATAGTTTTTCATTGATAATATGTCTTGTAACTTGTAGAGATGACCATCGAAGGGATAGAGATAGACAGTATGATAGACGAGATCGCAGACGTAGCCGTTCTCGGGATAAACGTGATGATTACAAGTCTTCTAGGAACGATAGGCGCAGTTCACCGAAAAAATCTAGACGAGATTCAAGGAGTCCTGATCGACGAGATCGTCATAGACGTGAGTAATTTGTAGTAATTTTAAATAACTCTAATTCTAATAAACTTCATATTGGAATTTCTAGGTGATCGCCGCAGTCGTTCATAGACGAAAGTCCTCAATTGCCCATCTACAAAAGATATCATCAAAACGTCAATACGCAATAGATTCAACAAATCCGCAATAGAGGTACTCAAAATATCCTTTAAATACTTTTTTAAAAACCCTTATACAAAATTAATTATTTGCAAAAATAATAATTAATATCAATAGAAAGCAAACCTTTCAGGTAAGTGAAATTAAATTTTAACGACAAAAGTTTGTAAAAAATATTCGAAACATTTTTATTTTTAGTTCACTGTAATTAAGACTATTAGAAAAAAGAGACATGTCCCTTTCTATTTTGATTTTCATTGCACAAATTTTAAGCATTTATTTCGTTCGATACCACTTCTAAATGTTTTCTGAGTCAGAAAGTCCGTACATACATATTTTCACAAAAAAAAAAATGCATATCAAATCAGGTTAGTGACTTATTTCTGTTGAGATATGTTTTTGAATTTGATTTATGTGAATTTGGCTTGAAATCTATCGGTCGGCGGGATCTGGCTGTTATTACTAGTTTCTTGATCAAAAAAACCGCTAAAGTTCAAAAATTCAAAATATTTAACTTCAAAAACCATAAAATTCAAATTTTTGAAAACCGTTAATTATTCAAAGATCTCATTTAAACTGATGTTCTTATCCATTTAAATGCCAGCCAAATTCCACTTGCGAATTCAAGTCAACTTTTCGTTAATTACAATTTGATGATTTTTAACTATGTACATTACACAACTACAATAATAGGGGACAAAAAAAATGTTGCGTTAACGGAAATGAAGGATAATGAAAGGCAATTGATTGAAATGACAAAAGGTATCAGAATTCATTAATTGAAAACTCATTGTTGAAACACTTTTCATATTTTATGTTATAAATTAAGGAAATTCAGCAACAGGATATTCCTCTTTGACTCGCAAATATTCTTAAATAAAAAAAAAGTCCATAATAATAAGTCCACTTCCGAGGTATTTATGATGAAATTGATAATGATACCAAGCATATTATTTTTATGAATTTAGTTGATCGACGAGAATGCCGTAAATTTTATTTTTATAATTTTAATCATACATATTATGCTTTTACAAATAGTTCGATTAAGTCCATTTTTTCATGTTCTAATTTTTTTTTTATTTCAATTAATTGGTTCTCAAAAAAAAATGATTTATTTTACATCATTCCTCTGTTTTGAAACTTTTTCAGTGTATGTATCCTTAGGAAGAAGATTTTAGTCATCATCTCGTGTATAAAAAAGTATCACCTAGTTTATGGATCTGCGAAAGAACATCAAAATCAATGATTCAAGGTGCGAATAGTTTATAAGAATTTTATAACTTTTTTCCTCTTCTTTTTCACTTTACATACTCTTGTAATTTATTTCAACACCAGTGAGAGACAAAAGTTTATCATTTTTTTTTCTTTTAACATGAAATCAAGCATGTTATTCTTCAAAAAAAAATTAAAATTTGTACCAGCTAAAATTCTAGTTTTGGCTCAAAAAAGCACGAGAAAATTCCAATTTTTTAAAAACGTTTGTTTTCCTTACAATGTCTCTCATTGGTTTTTAATGGATATTTATAATATATAGTAATATTATGCCACTAATTCATGAGAAAACAGGTTCAAAATTATTTCATTAATAAACTATAGTTGAAATATTGTTTCCATATTAAGGAAGTGCGATAAACAATTGAAATAATTAAAAAAGAAAAATGATGTTTTAAGTGGTAAGACTCAAAAAGAAGGATGAAAATAAAGTTAAGAGGGTTTTATGTGCGAAATACAATTCCACTATGTCTTTTCATATGTGAATGCTTAACTAACTTTAGCTTTTTTGAACTCGGTTCTCCTGCATCATCGTTAACTTTCTGCATTTTATTGAACATTGTTTCATATTCCTCGTCACTGACATCGACAGTCTGTTTACTTGATTCCTTACGTTCATTTAATAATCGATCGTCAGCTTCTTTCATTAATATCTCGCTTACTTTTGATTTAACATAGCATTGATATAAAAGATGTGATTTTTGAGAATCAAAAACTCGGACATAACGATCTAATGATGATGCAAAGAGATACTTTCCAGTTTCGTCAACAGTTATACTTGAAATGCTGCCTGTTGCTCCTTTATAAGTATGTAAAGGCGTTTTCATTGATTTAAGATCGAATGCATAAAGAATTCCAGTCGTTGTTCCTACATAAATTATTCCATCCTTTTCAGCTAGGGAATTAAAAGCTTGATCTCGACTGTCTGTATAATTATGTATGGGTCGACGTTGCTGACGATAATCATAGAATCGAATGTAGCCATATCTTGAACAAGTTGCTAAACATGAATCGCTGTTATTTACAAATGATATATCAGAATCCCAAACAGGCACTTCCAATTGCAGATTATCATGTGGAACATTTTTACTTGAAAAGATTTGCTTCTGTGACTCTAAATCAAACACTTTCAAGTTGTTCTTTCTATCCTTGCCACCGACTGCAACTAGATTTTTATTGTTACTGCATTGTCTCATTTTTGAAATATTATCTCCTGTTTCTATGATACTCATTGAGTCATTAAGAATATGAATTTTACCACTGTCACTTGCTGCGACAATTGTGCTGTAAATAAACAAATACTTGTTTTTTAAACTCTAGCTTTATACAATCACGACAAGTGATCTCGAATTTTATAGCCTACGTGCAATCAGATACTAGTCTAATGGAACCGATTGTGTATCAAGTTTTCTCTAAACATGTAAATTAGTTCATCAAAAAATGATAAATAGCATAACTTACTCTTGACTCCATGCCAATCCTACAATTTTGCCTTCGGGAATCGATAGGTCTGTCTCACAGAATTGATTCTTGTCACATTCGAATGTCCTTATGATTGAATCACCTCGTCCCAAAATGATTTCATTTTTATCGTCATCAGCCCAACATAAAGCAGTGACTTTTGATTCTTTAGTTACAGCATCTAAGTTCTGAAGATTTGTTTGTTTGTATGGATTATCTTTGTTAAAGATGTCAACTCCTAAATATTATTGCGAGACATGTGAATTAGGCAAGAAAACGAGACCAAAAATGCGACTTACTTTTAAAGCTTCCTGTCTGTGTTCCTACATAAATGACGTGATTTTCTTGGTAATCACCATTCTTGACATTGTTTGTAGTGTATTTCATGTTGATTAAATGTTTAATTATATTAAATTTTGATTTGTTATTAATTTTTAAATTCACATTCTTTGAAGCCCCTTTTGGAACTACACAGATTCGACATTTTCTAGTTAGAGCTCTACACTCTGTCGGGAATATCCAATAATATTAAAAAAAAAACTCTAATTTAATGAATGAAATAATATCAAATAATTAGAATTAACGTAATAAAAGGACTTTTAAAAAGTTTGTAAACATATCAAAGAGTGAGTTTATAACGAACTGGTGCCATTTAAGAAACTTCTGGATCTTAGAAAAACCATAGTGGAGAAGACAAAAACAGCTATTAAGAAACAAAAAAAAAACGCTTCATATTAAATTTTATTTAAAAGCATATTAAAACAGCAATAGACTAGGTTAGTGAGACTATTCGAGTAGTAATCACACTTGAAAGCATTGAAAATGTTGGCTGGAAATAAGAGAAAGATGAAGAATCAGGGAGGAAATCCAGGACGAAATAATCAGCGTAAAAATTTTCAACAGCAACAAAATTTCAATGCTCCACAATTAAATGATCAAAATCCGGGCTATATGGACTTTAGTAGCAATAACTTTAATGAACCACATCAACCAGCTCAAAGGCAACAAAATAATATGAACAATAATAAGAGGAAAAATCCAAATCAGCAGCAACAACAACAACAACAAAACAACCAGCGAAGACCGAATCAGAAGAAAAACTTCCAGAATGGAGGTGGAAATAAGAATAATTGGAATAATCAGCCACCTCAGAGACGCGGACCTCCACAGCAAATGATGAATCAACCAAATCAGTTTTCACCACCTCCAATGCCAATGAACCAGAGAATGCAGCAATCTCCAAACTTCAGGAACATGCGAAATGGTATGCAAATGCCACCATTTGGACCAATTCGTCAACCACCTATGATGGGAGGTCCAATGCCACCTATGCCTCCAATGCGCGGTCCAATGAGACGACAATTCCAGAAGTTCAATCAACAGAATAAAAATAACAACCAGAATAGAAAGAATCCCAATTTGACAAAAGTCGATAAACCCAAGAATCGTAAGCAAAACATGAACAAGAGGAATGCAGGCAATAAGGGCAAGAAGAAACAACGTGATCCATACTCTTTGGAAGCTCCATTTGTTACCGATGAAATTAAAGCAGAACATGCCAAGAAAGAGGAGATTTTGGAGAGTATGAAAGGTAAAGGAAAGAACGATGAACTTTTTGCCAAATTCAAGGAACAACGTGAGGTATTCGTGAAAAAGTACGATGAAGCTAAGGCTGCATATCAGGCTGAAAAGAAGGTAAACAAACTTTTGTTATTCATTAATTCTTATTAGATGCTAATTTCTGTGAATAATATCCTTTAGGCTCAACGGGAGGTTGCAAAGGCCGCAAAAGCTGAAGCTGCTGAAAAGGCAAAATTGGAATCAGAGGCAGGTAAAGATGAGAAAATTGAGAATGGCGAACAATCGTCAGCAGTGACAACAACACCACCAGCAACAGTCGAAACCGCAGAAAACACAGTCGAAACTTCTATTAAAAAGGAGGAAATCGAAATTACTACGAAGAAGGAGGAAGAAGTTGCTGTTTCTGTAGCTAATGTTGAAGAGGTCGCAGGACAAGCTTAAAAATTTGTAGCTAAGATAAGATGTATTTTGTTTATAATATTATACATTTTTATTATTTCCTTTGTCGTGTCTTAATTATATATTATAAATTAATTAAATATTCGAAGAACTCCTTAATTTTAATTTTAATTTCCAACCAAGTTTTAGTATTAGTGTTCAATAATTGAATGAACGAAAGGATTTTCTAACGATTTTTAATATGAAATAATAATAATAATAATTGAGAGAACTTAAACATTTTTTTGGACCCTCTTATTTTCTTTTTCAAAATAATCATAATTAATAATGATAAAATTTCTTTCTAAAACAATTTTAAAAATGATGAAAAAAGGATTAAAAACTTAGTAAAATAATAATAATAATAATGATAGAAAAGAGTATCGTGTAAAGTTTTAGAGCATTCTCGGTAATTATGTTTATTATCGCTGTAATAATCTTTATTATATTTAATATAAATTTTAGAAGTTTTTCTTGTGGCAGAAAAAGAGTAATAAAGTAAAAAAAAACAATTGAATAATTAAGGATTTTCAATGAAGAACTCACATAAACTCATTTATAATCTCAAATATTAATTTCAAATAAAGCGTATTGTATAAACTTGAATGATTTTCTTTTGATATTAGTCATGACTTGATTCATAGTTTATAGCTAGAAACTGCTGAATACATTAAAACTAGTTTAAAGTCTTAAATTTGACTTTTCAATTCTCAACGATTTTTTTAAATTCAAAAATCAAGAGTGTGAAATTTATTTGTTTTTAATTCAACATACATTTGGCTCATTTAAAATTATTGAATAATTCATTAATTACAGTAAAACTTCCATCGAAAATAGTCTAAATTTAGTAATCAAGATGTCAGCTACTCATCAAAGTCGTCGATTGGTTTTGTCACTGTACAAAGATCTACTGAGAGAAGGTTCAAAATTTTCCGCATACAATTTCAGGTAAATTGAAAGATTCCTTTTTAATTGTGAAATTTCCATGCCTTTGCTGAGATACTTGGCTAGCTTAGTAGTCATATTCGATAACCATGTTAGTAATTAATCAGTTTTCAACAAGTTTTTCAAGATCCGACCGTTTTATATCTCAAATGATCAATCCACTTCAGATTACTAGTGATCAGTGATTTGTTGGAACTAATTCTTGTGTCTGTCAAATTCTAAATCTGATATCTTCCAACATCAATTGGTTTTTTTAATCACAATAACTTGCAGAATGTACGCACTGCGAAGGACGAGAGATGCTTTTAAAGAGAACAAGTCAATAACAGATGGAACCTTACTCCAAAAAAGCATACTTGAGGCTAAAGAGAATTTAGAAATAATCAGACGACAAGTAAGAAAGTTTTTAGTAAAATAGATTCAAAAACTTTTATTAATGAGGCATAAATGTGTCATTTACAGGTCATTATTGGTCATCTATATCAGGCAGATAAATTAATTATTGAAAAATAGTTGAATAAAATGTATTTAACATTAATTAATAAATTGTTCAAACAAAAATGTGTTAGAATAGTTTCAAAAAAATACAAATAAAGCATTTTATGATAAAGGTAACACTTTGTATGGATTAAGGATATTTTCAGGATCCATTAGATTCTTAATTTGCTTCATTAATTCAATGGCTTCTGGACTCTTTGAATAGTGTAAGTATTTTGGTTTATGAAATCCGATTCCGTGCTCTGCAGAAATACTTCCTTTAAGCTTGCTAGTATATTCAAAAACGAATGGCTCAACAAGCTTGTAAATCTCTTGAGAGAATTTCTCGCAAACAATATTCAAGTGCATGTTGCTGTCACCTGTTGACGAAATATAAATTGCTCATTAATTGTACAATTTAAAATCTCAAAAAATGTTTGAAAACCTCACAAAATTTAAGTTAAAACCATCCAACAGTTTTAATTATTATGCATTTGTATGGTTCTCGTACCCAATTATTTCAAAACTCACCCACATGACCATAACCAGAAACCAATTTTGCATGACTTCCTACTCTTTCTCTAACAGCACCAACAATATCGTAAAAATTGGATAAAGGCAAAGAAATGTCATATTTAAAGCAATAGCCCATTTTTAACAAGCTTTCAGCAATTCTTTCTCTGCTTTCCCAAATATTGCGCATTTTTGAAGGCTCATTTGTAGCAACACCGTCAACAATGATTGATTTTTCCATAGCATTTTTAAGGAAGTTGTTAAGCTTTTCCTTATCATGTTCGTCATTGCTTCCTGATGTCTCAAAAATCATGTAAAATGGGTACTTTTGGATTGGAGATCTGTTTTTTTTGAAAAACCAAAATTTAATATTATGCTTTGACAATGATAAATGTCTATTAACTTACTGTAAATTGCACATTGTTGTACTTGCCATTAAAGAAGGTTCATCAATCATTTCAACTGAAGATAGAATTTCTCCAAGTTCTTTTTTGGCTAATAAAAAGGCATTAAGTACTTGTTGAAAGCTTTCAAGACCAACAAAAGCTAAATTCACAGCATTGGGTGCTGTTGGGCAGTGCAGTGCAAGTTTAGTGACAATTCCTAAAGAACCTTCAGATCCAATGAATAAGTGCTTTAAGTGGTAACCTGTATTGTCTTTCTTGAAATTGGACATTAAGTTGAGGATTTTTCCGTTTGCTAAAACTGCCTCAACACCTAAAACAGATCCATGAAGATTTCCATACCGAATCAATCTTAAACCTCCAGCATTTGTAGATACATTTCCCCCAATATGACAAGTTCCTTTACTACCCAAATCTAATGGAACAATTAATCCTTTCTCATTGACTGCCGATTCGAGTTTTTCTAAAACAACGCCTGATTGACATCTGACAATCCCAGAATATTCATCAATATGTTCAATTTTGTTCATAAGGCTCATAGAAATTACAACTTCATCAAAAACAGGCACAGATCCACCAACCAAGCCAGTATTTCCACCTTGTGGAACAACAGCTAGTTTTTGTGCATGACAATATTTCACAATTTCTGAGACTTCTTCTGTGGTTTTTGGTTTCAAAACGACATTAGAAGCACCTCGGACACTTTTAATCCAATCAATATTGTACATATCTGTGTCACTTCCAGTCAAAACGCGATGTTTCTCCAAAATAGACTCAAAATGTGAAATGTCGTGATCATTAAGTGCATTATAATTTCCACGTTTTACTGGATATCGATCTTTTGTAAATTGTGGCACTTCTTTTGCCGAAAATGCACGAGCCGATACTCGATTGATGATTTTAAGTTGCTTTGTCAACAGCATTTTGGGATGAAAGATAAATAATCTTTAGAAATGGAAGTGAATGAAAGTTATTGTTAGGATCAAATTGAAATAAGGAGATAATCTGTAAGAATTTTAAGTACAAAAAGTTTCCAATTCTGTTGCTGCACGTTCATAACAAATTTTTTTGCAGGTACTTATTCTAAATCTTATTTAATTTTAACACTTTTTGTCAAGTTTTATTTTGGTTTTGCCGCTTCATAAATTTTATTTCGCGAAAATCACAAGAAACTGCTGATTTTTGACTTGTTAAAAGTTATATCCTTCGACTTTAATGCCAACAGTTCTTATTGGTAAGTACAGAAGTTATTCTCAAAAATCGTAGTTTTTGATGATTTTATATCTGTCATTAAAAATCTTTGAAAGTTTTAAGAACAAAATTGTTAAAGAAGCGGGAGGTTCACTGACTGTTGATTCCTTTTTTGGCTAAGCTTGAAGCTCACACAATCAAATCTGAAGAAATCTTTATTTTTAATTGTTCTTACCAATATCTGAAGTTTAATATTCTAAGTTAAGCATTCTCAGTCATTTAATCATTTCTATTACTTAATTGTCCAGAATTCATAGTATTAAATAATAGCTAGGATTGTGATTTTCATAATCTTTGTTATTATTCAACTTCATTCCCACAACCCACGTCCATAGCGTTCAAAAAATAATAACAATAATCATTTGATTCAATCACCAATCATTTTGACATAAACGTTGACTGCATGGCAAAAACAAAAAGAAGAAAAAGAAGAAGAAGCAACAAACACAAAAAAGTTTAAAATTATCCCTAACCATTTTTAAAATCGTGTACATCTCCATTATTATTTTTACCTTAACTCTATAAACTCTTTTATGCAATTATATTGTTTTATGCTCGATATTTATTTCTTCAATAATTCAAAATGGAAAGAAAAGACATTGTTCAATATTGTTCAATATATCCACAAATAAATGAGACAAAAAAGACACAAAAATAAAATAGAAAGAACACAGAAGAGAAAAGAAGCAAAAGACCCAGCTTGAGTTCGTTTTCAAGGACGCTTTCCATTCTTGTATTGAAGAATAAGAAGCATAGAAAGCAGCCAAAATTGAAACGAACATAAATTAGAAGCAAAATGACGATCTAGAAAAAAAAATGTATTTTTGTTTTTTGGTGCTGTCTATTTTTTGTTCAACATTTTCTTAATGGAGATTCCGATTGCTTCTTCATGTTGCGATCACGCAAGAATGAGGAAGAAGAATTAAGAAAGAATAAAAAATCAGATTTAATGACTTTTTGAGAGAAAGTTCTGAAATCGTGCTGAAAATTAGAGTAACTGGTCTAATCTATAAAAGATTGAGTCTTTGGTTGTATGTTTACAATAAAGTGTGAATAGACATGCTTCTTCAAAATATTTCAATTGCCTGAAATGAAGGATTTTAATTTAATGCTTTGTTTATTGATTCAGAAGCTATAAAATGTTTTCTATGTAGGTAATCTACAGACAGATTGTGATCCAAGAAGTGGTTTGAAGTTTTTATAAACTGTAGGCAATTTTTTATCATATTTGATCTGGAGAATTTAAACATTTTTGTTTTATTTTGGATTAAAAACTTGTTTTCTTTTGTCTAAGACCCATTGAAAAAGTGGGTGTGGGCAATCAGTGCCTTAGACCAGGGCGCTATGAAAAATGTCAAAAAAGAGGGAGAAAAGCAATGAACAATGAATTGAATCTTAAAATTATTATGTAAAAGGTCGTATCTACGGAACAAATCAATCAATTTTCACAAGATAATTATAATCAGTATAATTTACAAGATATAAAGCATGCGCAAGCGTCATTCCATCAAAAAATGCTGAATTTTTTTCGGCAAGTTATTAAATATTTAAGAGACAAATTTATAAAAAAATTATCAATGAGAAGAAGCTTTAGAAGCATGAAATTCGACACTTTTTGCAAATTTCATTAGAGTTAAACCTTTATGGACATTCGATACAATTCCGAAAGATTGAGTGTTCGCGATCTTCTTCTACATGTCATTATGCATTAATGTAGTATCATGTACATCGGAAATATTTAGTCACTGCCTTGTTCAGATTAATTCAAAAACGAATAATGAAGATTGAATAAAATAAAATGAAAATATTAATAATTCAAAAGGCAAGCGAACGTGCGAAAGAGAACGACGCACAATTGAAGAAAGAAAAAAAATCTCTCAAATCAAATGAAGTCAAGCAGCAAGAGAAAATAAATTATAATAATAAACCATTGATACATGTTTATTGGCGAGTCACATCGTCAAACGGAGTCATTTAAATTACTCTTTAATTCCTCATCGTCTATTCATATTCACACTTTTGTGAATAACGAAGCTAACAAGAAGAAGAGAAGAAAAATTATCGCACAAACACAAACACCACATGAGCAGCACAAAAAAAATTCATCAATTTTGCGCAAGACAAGCAAAGCGATAATAACCTTTATGAGTATCATGCGAGCATAAGAGAGAGAAAGAGCGAGAGGTTGTGTAGAAAAAAAAATTATAAATCAATCTAGCGCTCGTTTTTTTCGGTTGCCACCTCTTCGTACACAAAAACTCATTCTTTCCCTCTTCTTATTTTGTTTTTCGGTTGCTTTGTTGCTGGTTCCCCTTCACAATATGATTCGATGGAAATTTTAAGCCAATACGAGAACGTGATGTGAATGAAAAAGAGACTACGCAAGTCTGTGTTTGCTCATCGAGTCATAAAGAACGAAAAAAGAAAAAAAAAGAAAGACATAAAAAATTTTGTGTGTAAGAAGGAAAGCAGCAAAAAGGGGAATTGTTTTCAGTTCGTCGGTAGACTCTTCTGGCACTGGAGTTTAATGTGAAGTTGAAGACGAGAAGAATAAGAAGCTTCAGTGAACAAAAATATTGTGCGCGCGTTCTTGATTGTGTTAGTTGCACAATTGAATTAAAAATTCTATGACTGTATATGCCTGAGAAGTGAGGCTTGAAAATTTCAGTATTTGAAGGTTTAGTCGCGTAATGAAAAATTAAATGAAAAAATGGTCAATTTGAGTGATTTTTTTGTGGAATATCGATAAGATAACGTAAGTGAATAGAATACAGTTATTGATTATTTCATTGGTGCCTGGGTGTTGAGGAAAAGTTATTGGAAATAATGCCAAAAAATTGATAAAAATTAAAATTAAATCACATAGTGGTATACATATACATGCATAGTATGAACAAGCATGTGCCAACATCGAAGGGAATTTTTTTCTTGTATCTAAAAATAATGTGTATGTTTGTGTCTGTGAATGTCTCGACCAAGTACTTCCTTGCATTTTATTTTATACCCTTGAAAAATTAATTTTTTTAACCGATAATTATGAAATAAAAATCAAGTAAAATTCATTGAAACTTCAAACTGTCCATTGTGCTTTCATCGATGCATGAAGAGGCTTAATTAGCGGTAAAGCATACATGAAATGCTCTAAAAAATTATAAAACAATGTGATGTGAGCTATGAGAGTGTTAGTGCAAAGCCATAATGAGGTTTTTAAAGCATAACATCAGCATAAAATATCGCTTATGCTTGAAAGAAAAAAGTTGAATATTGTTCATGTTAAGGCTTATTTTGTTGTTGTTTCTTGTACGAAAACCAGCAATTTTAAAATAATTTTCGTGTTCATCGCTCATTAGCTTCAAGAATTCTTTAATGCTCTAATATTTACCTTCCATACATACTGAATGATGTAGAGGAAAAAGAGAGACTCTTCAATGTTTTTTTTTTTGGAAGTAAAAAATAAATAATAGACATAAAGACGCAGCGTTGCCAAATTTCACATTTCTTTTGTGTATTTACATCTCCAACTGAGTAAAAAAAAATAGAAAGCGACGGAATGGATGGATAGAGATGAACAGTGATTATTGTGGAAGAAAATCTCGAAACAAATGTGAAAAACCTTGCGAGGATTTTACACGAAAATCTTGTGTCAGAATGTTGTAAACATTTTTCAAGTACATCGTATGTCGAGGATGTTTATCACATTTGACTTGAACTATCGTCAGAACGTTGATTGTTTTTGCTAAGAATTAATAAGCTAATGAGGAGCTAGAGGAATGTTTAACAAGTTTCATGAACAGCTCCTTGTCAAACGAATGTGTGACAATTTATTGGCTAAAACTGATCTCCCTTAAAATTCAAATAACACCATAAATCTGCCAAAAACATCCTAAAGATCCAGTTACTTCCAAAAATCAATAATAGAAAAACATTCTGTCAAAATCATTTCAAGGTACCAAAAGTGCGTGGCAGTTGTGAAAGTTTGAGAACAGACAGTGTGAACTTTTTTTTCTTTTGTTTATTTGTTATGCCAGTTTAAGTAAATAGAATTATTCCATTTCTGCATTTTTTGTGCCTTCATATGCACTTCACTGGCACACATTCCGACTTATATTAAAAAATATTATATATTTTGTTGAAAATAAAAAAAATAATCAACGAATTTTTACAGTACAAAAAGGGCACTAGCACAGCCATAAAATGAAATATTTACATTTTGTTTTTCGTTACCTCACACACGGTTTAAGGCAATATAAAAGTTGCTGCTCTGTAACTGCCGTTCAATTTATTTCTTCTTCTCAACACAAAATTTAAGTCACTTTGAGTGCTGACCGAGCAATAAGATTAACTTGATGCACAGACTTAATTTTATATACGGCACCTAATCGTGAAAATTTTCATACTAGACATATGAATGATAAGATAATTGTATACAAAAAAAAAAAACCGAATAATAAACACAAACTTAATAAGACATTCAGATGATGATAAGATAGCACAAAAAATATTAATAAAAGAATAAAATAATAATTGGACACAACGACATCTGTGAATGTATTGTGAAACTAAAGTTGTGAATGTGTTGGTGCCAATCAACTACTATAAAATGCTTGCTATATTTATAGACCAAAACACATTAAGTATTTTTTTCTTCTCTATACTTATATCTCTGTCGATA